TCCCACTGCTGACACTGAGGCCACAACATAAAATGTAGGTCATGGGGTAGATACCTGTGTCAAGAGAACAGATGCAAATGTTTGAAAGCAGATTTGATTTGCTCTGAGCTATGTAGCTGTAGGAGAGACTGTCAGAATCCATAAATTGTGACTCCTTTGATTAGGTTTTATAGATTTGGATTATATACTCAAATGATAATATACAGAATCTTAACAATGCTACTACTCGTGCTAGTATGAACTGGACTTATCAAACATTTTCACATCTTAGAAAATGTTCTATAAAACTAGATAGTATTGCCATTGGTACTAGAAAGGAATAAATGGCTGTTGAGGTTCCTTTTTTATAACTGTTAATCATTATTGTATATCTCAGTAGGAATAATATGACAAACTATATTCACTATTTTGAGCTCATTTGAGTAGACAATATGATCTTTGTTTACATTTTTAAGGTAAAATTAGGTCATTCCTGACCTATCATAAACTACACTACCAATCTCAAACTGCATCAAACAGCATGGTTTCATAAACAGTGCTGTAAAAACAGTACTGTACACAGCTGTTTTCTAAAACAGTACTGAGCTGTAAAAACAGTACTGTACTATGCTGTCCAAAACAGATGGTGTTAGAATAGCATTGTACATTGCTATATAGTGCAGTACTCTGACTGCACTGTTCAGAACTGTTGACAGCGCTGCAAGAAGATGTTGCGGATTGGGGGTGTAATATGAAAATGTAATTTTCTTATAATTTCCAATCATTTTTTCACTCCTTGGGAATGATATGATAAAACAGGACTAAATATACCATCTAAAGCTCATTTGAGGTGACTATGTCTCATATTTAGAAAATTATTAAGGTAAAATAAGGTTACCCCAGGTCCATCAAGAGCTTAGTGAAAATTTTGATTTTTTAGATATATCCGATCATTTTCTACATCTTATTGGAAGAAGTATGATAAAACAGAACTATATGCAACATCTTGAGCTAATTTGAGATGCATATATTACATATCTGGGAAATTATTAGGGTAAAATATGGTTACCCCTGGCCCTTTAGAACCGAAAATGAAATTTTCTTTTTTTTATTTTTATTTTCAATAATTTTTTTACATCTAATTAGGAATAATATGACAAAACAATACTTAATGCAACATTTAGAATTCATATGAGGCCCAAACATCGCGTATCTTAAAAGTTATTAAGGTAAAATAAGGTCACCCCTAGGCCGCAAGGGCTTAAATATCCAAATTTCGATAATTTATTTCTCAAAAAATACATGAGCTACACAAGCCATATATCATATGAGTGATTAACACCAATATCTCTATTAGTATGAATTTTTTCAGAATGATCAGACATCACATTCTTGAAATACAGTACTTGATGTCCTATATTTGACCCTTTGAAAGATGAATTCACGCTAGATAATTGGGTTAAAATGTATTTTCCTTCCTAAACACCACTTCTAAAATAGGTTTTTCTCAATTTCAAGGCTCAAAGCAATGACCAAATGCAGTCATTTAAAAGAAATATACTTTACAACTATTTTTATTTATTTTATTATAATGTACCCCCTCCCCGCCTGATATGTACCCCCTCCCCGCCTGATAGGGGTTGGGGTCAGAGGCTTAAAATCCATGAAGACCACCCCAGATCAATTGCCCCGAAATCATTTTTCATTCAGATCATATGTTTCTACAACTGTGCCAAGTTTGTTACTTTCCTGAAAAAGTCGAACTACCAAAGGGACATCTGACTGCGCTAATGTAGCCGGTTCTGGGTAAGGCCTGTACGTGCCCCTTACACGTATATGTTACAGGAAGTAAATGTAGCACTTGAGAATGAAATAGAAAATTAAAAATATATAAATTAGTACAGTAGAGTCTTCGAATGCTCTTGTAAATGAACTGTAGTAATGGTTTGTCTCATTAAATTGTATTATATTTGTGTTTTAAGGAGGTGGCGTGGAAGACGCATGAGTGGAAAAAGGATAAAGAAAAGGAAAAATTAAATGGTCCAAGAAAAAAGAGAAAGTTTGGATTTAAAGAGTTAGCGAGGTGCATTCACGGATATAATTAACTCTTTTAAATTTATTCTTGATATTGCTTGTATTATACATTCAAATGTGAAATGTAGTAGTCACGGCAAATATTTTATTGAATCTTGATTTTGTTGCAGGGCGGTCAAGTTCAGTTCTAAATTGATGGGGAAAGCCTTGGCCAGAAGGGTTAACTGTACAATCCTCTATGGTACAGAGACTGGGAAATCTGAACGTTATGCTAAGACACTTTGTGGAATATTTATGCATGCATTTGATGCAAAGGTATAGAATTATTTGCATTCTACACCAGAACTAAAAATATTATAAATGTTCTCGTTTCATTATGTGAATGCTTGATTTTAATGAATTTGTACAATAATGGTACCTGTACTCTGTATTTTAATGTAGCCATTTTACTTAAGATTGTTAAGATAAGTACTTTTTTATTAATTGTCATTGCAATGTTATGTACGACAAGTAATTTTTTTATTAATTGTCATTGCAATGTAATGTATGATAAGTACTTTTTTTTATTAATTGTCATTGCAATGTACATTGATAGGAGTGACTAGATTAAAGTATGATATTAACATAATTAAATATCATATTACAAACGTGTAGGTGTTATGTATGGATGATTACGACACAACGGAGCTTGAACATGAAGCGCTTGTACTTGTAATTACGAGTACATTTGGAAACGGAGACCCACCAGAGAATGGAGAGGTTACAAAACATTTTACTTTTTACTTTCTTGACCCATTTCAATAGTGATAACCATTGTTTAATTATCATTTTCGTTCCATTATATAATGTAATGATCTTATAATTATGGCACTATTTATTCTATAGAACTAAAATATACATGCTGCGAAGCAGATTCTTAGTTTGAAAATAATAAAAGTAAAAGTGAAACAATAATCTGTATTACTTTAGGCGTTTGGAAAAGCATTGTATCACATGAAGGAACCAGATAATAAAAGCGGAAGTGCGTCAACTATTATGCGCCTTAGATCCTCTCGAAACAAATCGGAATCAAAAGAGGCCAGACCAAAATCACTGACAAATGGGGAAGATTCATTGGACAGAGACATCGGTCCGATGGGAAACTTAAGGTATTAAACGTAATTAGTTAAAATTGTAAAAGTACATACATGTATGTTGTCATTGCTTTAACTCTATATTCTTTTGCGGAAGATTATTGTACACTGTTAAGTTTCGAAACTGCCCGTTGTATTCACGACTGTGGCATGGTACTCTGCTTCAATTCCATGCAACTTCACGAGGCACCTTTTGTAAGCTGAATGACGTATTCGTTGCACAAGGGCTGTTTATGTAAACGGTTTAAACCTCCAAAAGTTGCATACTCATTCTTCCTTTACACAACTATAAAACGCTTCCTAATGCATTATGCAGATTCCTATATGCCTATATCAGTATCCAGATCTTGTACATTATCGGTTTATGCTATGCGCTTTACATGTATTTATCCTATGCCAAGTAGAGTTTTAGGGAGACACGTTGGTAAGATATATCCCGTATCCTGATTTTGATGTTTCAATATCCTGAACCTCCATATCTCCCGCTCCAGGGCATATCTTCCCGATTAGAAAAAAATTGAAAAAAAAAATTGAAAAAAAAATTGAAAAACAATTAGAAAAATGTAAAAAAAAATTGAAAAAATAGAAGAAATTGAAAGAAAATTAGAAAACTCTACTGGGTATAGGATAAAGCAGTTATATGTACGGTCAGTTTGGATATGGAGTTTATCCCTCGTGAGATATATAGGGGTTATGCACTGGGAGGTTTTGGATACAGGGAATATCCCGAGGGATATACAATATATTTTCCCGAGGGACCGAAGGGACCGAGGGAAGATGTATTGTATATCCCAAGGGATATTCCATGTATCCAAACCGACTGTGCATAACTGGTGTATCTCATACTTGAGTGGGTTTAGGGTAGATATAACCTTTTCCACCTTTTTCAAATGACAAGATATTTATATTTAACATTTTCGTAATATTCTTTTTGTTCAATACAATGAAATTGTAACATTTAAACTTAAAAAATTTAAATTTTAAAATCAAAAAATTAAAACTTTTGATATTTAAACTTTTGAAAAATTCCCGGGAGCGGGATGGATATATTATATCTGCCCGCATTTGGCCTAGAGCGGGACATATACAATATATCCTGCCCGCTCCTCAGATACGATATATATTCCAGGGTGATATCTACCCCAAACCAACTCAAGTATGAGATACACACATCTACCTTCGGTCACTACGGTCCCTCAGGTTGATATACATATCTCCCTCTGGAGAAACCCCATATCCAAACCTCCCAGTACATAACCCTTATATATTCACCTTGTTGCCTTTACCTCTTTCCTTATTTGTGCTTTTGTTCACTTTGTCTATGTCAAGAATCAAGCCCATTTCAAAACGTGAGTCGTTTAGGCAACGACACAAGGAGAGTATGTTTGTCTCTTTCGTTGATATTGTGGACGACCCAACTTACTCTAAACTCTGGACACAATATGGGCAACTGCTAGCAAATTTAAGGTACTGTGAGCATCAAATTGTCTGAATATATTTATAAAATCATTTCTTTCCACTGGCTGTCAACATTCCTATATTTTGTTTCAATCACACATGTTATATATTTCACAATTAATTTGTTTTTTGACTAAAAGTAAGTAATTGATGTGAGGAGGATTGTTCTTGGATAGACTTTAGATGTAATCGGAATATTCCGAAATTAAGAGATTTTTCTTCATGTTTTCCACTTAATTTAGTTTTTTTCAGCTCTGTATTGCACGTTAACGTATCTTTTAATGACATGAATTTATCTTTAGATTTTCAGTATTTGGTCTTGGGTCAAGGGCTTATCCGCATTTCTGTGCTTTCGCCCATTACGTCGACAACATTCTCTACGATCTCGGGGGTGAACGGATTCACACGTTGGTCGAAGGGGATGAGCTTTGTGGGCAGGAGGAGTCGTTCAAAATATGGGCACATGGAGTATTCAAGGTTTGTCCCGTATTGTAATAACCCGTATTGTAATAACTACGCCGCCTCCGATATCCGTTTTCACTGCTGAGGATTGCCTCATTTAGTTCAAATGGGATCTATTCATGTTTGTTTTTTATGGGATAATGTGCTTAAAGTATCTTAGAATATTGAGATATGTGTTTCCGTTTTAATTTAATACAAACAGTAATGTAACAAATTGGTTTTATGGTAAAATTAGCAAACTGAAGGGAGAGAAATAATTCACTGTAATCTGGACGATAATATATTGAATGATAGATTATGTATAACTTTCAGTGTTCTTGTGAAAGGTTCTACGATGTATAGAGTACCTCGATATATGAATATAATATATACATTCATCGAAATTTCTAAAAGTGGAGAATGTATTGCGGTCTGGGAGTTACATGTATTACCACGATGAATATTACTGTCAATAACTTTCAGTCTGCTTGTGAAACGTTTTGTGTGGGCGATGGCGTCAATATTTCTGCCGTTACCGGTGCTTTGGCGGATAATGATACATCCTGGAAAGCAGGAAAATACAGACTCACTCCAACAGCAACAGACAAGACATTGTCTCTTCATAAAGGTTGCACCTCGATCATTGATTATTGTTGTTTTAGATTCATGTATTCCAATTTACTTGACTAAAAATATAATTGTTTTCTGAATGCTGTTTTTACCGGTATTCAGTTTATATTCAGATTACAACTGGCAATATTTTGGGAAATTATGTTATGTATAGTTTTCTTTCAAATGTTTAGGTTTATCACAGCTCCATAAGAAAAGTGTATTTCCATGTAAATTGGTATCTTGTGAAAATCTTCAATCGAAGGACTCGGGCCGACGCACGTTATTGGTCAAGATGAATACGCAAGTTGCAGGATCTGACGAATTATGTTATCAACCAGGAGATCACGTGGGGATATTTGCAGCCAATAGGGACGATTACGTAAATTTTATCATAACGAGGCTACAAAATGCGCCAACTCCTGACGAATTGATACAAATAGAAATTCGCAAGAGCAACGGTAATTTTACATTCTTTTATGTATGATAAATGTCCATAATACTATTAAAGACAGTTGGCATACATGTATTTCAACAATGATAGGAGATTTACGTTCATCATTATAACAACACTTTTAGCTAATTCAAATAACTGGGCAGCAGTCGACCGTTTTCCTCCAATGACACTACGCATCGCGTTGAAGAACTACTTAGATATAACAACGCCACCTACACCTGCAATGCTTCAGCATTTGGCTACCCAGACAAGTGATGCCAAAGACAAACTTGCCCTTGAAAAACTAGCTACGGTCAGTACGGCAACCCCAATTACATTAAATGACTGTTAAGTTCTTAACTGAATCAAATTTTTGACATCCTGTTTTGTTTGATTTTAATCTTCGTGCATAACGGATTTATGTTTGTTTTGCTATTATCATTCCATCTCTGTATTCAAGGACTCAGCATCGTATGAAAACTGGAAATCCTGGAATCTTCCGAATTTGGTTGAAGTTCTGAAGGAATTTCCCTCGGTTAAAGTCAACCCCACTCTACTCCTTGCCCAGCTTCCGCTCTTGCAACAACGCTTCTATAGTATAAGCTCCTCTACTCTAGCACATCCTGACGAGGTCCACATAACAGTTATAGTTGTAGAGTATCGCGCACAAGGTGGCAAGGGACCCATTCACAAAGGGGTGTGCTCTGCCTGGTTCGAAAATCTAAAGGAGGGGGATATCATACCATGCTTTGTTAGAGCGTGCGTATTCAGATTTAAACTAGATTTCATACTGTAGAATTCTATTATGTTTGCACAACGAACATTTCCTGATTTTTCAATAGTCGGTTTACTTTGAATTCATCAGTGCAGTGCACTGATGCAAAGGGGAATGGAATTCCGAATTTATTTTTTTTCATTTCTATTTTCAGAGCTCCAAACTTCCATCTTCCAGAAAACACCAGTTTACCTATAGTTATGGTCGGCCCGGGAACTGGTATCGCGCCTTTTAGAAGTTTTTGGCAACAGCGTAAAGTAGAAGTAGAAATGGGACATTTGAATAAACGTAGGTCCTAACAAAATGGAGAGGTTAAGCTAACGATGTTTTTCACAACGTAACCGTGAACGCAAAGTACAAAAATTAACAAAGGAATGTATCGAGCGCTCATAGTTTTATGCGCGCTTAGTCTACTTCAGATACTCTTTCAGCTTCAGAGTTTCGGGTTTAGAACGGGAGATTTGAATATTTGACGTTGGGTCAACGGGAACCATTTTACTCGTGTCTATTGAACACTATGCTGTCAATTTTGATTTCGATGCACAGTTGAATTCTTGCTGAACACGGTGATGTATGTCATGCATGATTTAGCGCCAAAAATCTTACGAAACGAGCTCGTTTAAAATATGTATTAGAAAACCAGCTATAAAACCGCATCAATGACATACTATAGAATCATTACACGCTATGGTGTAGTCTAAACAAACACTGGATTTGAACGGCTATTTATATGAGAAGGCTACATGAATTTGTATATGGTCGAGTGATACGTACAGGTTCAGTTTCGATTATATATGCAAAGCTTAACCTCTCCAATATCACTTTATAACGTGAAGTAACTTTAAATGTCAAAAGTGCTTTGTAAGCCAAAGTGTGCCAACAGGAAGGTAGTACAGTTAATTACAAAACAACTGTTCAGTTGTGTCCAAATATTTTGAGCCAATTGGTTGAGCTCATCACGTTTCTCATTCCAGAAGGGACATTTGGATTCGGAGAGATAGATTTGTACTTTGGATGTCGCAATTCAAAGATGGACGATATATACCGTCATGAAACGATGCCCCTTCTAGATGACGGATTTCTTTCCCACGTCTACACGGCACTCTCGAGAGAACCTGGCCAGTCGAAGGTAATAATTAGGTTATATCAATATTCAATGCGATTTAAAACCCAGTAATTCACGACGCCAAACATGCATAATAACTTATTTCCCAAATTCCGAGTCGCGCATAATAACTTATTTCGCAAATTCCGAGTCGCATCAATAACAGTTCATTGATTATTTATTTATTTGCAAGCTGGTATTGTGCTTGATTGATTCTATAGTTCATCAAAGACATAAACGTAGCCTACACAAACGGTCTTGGAACCCAACACCTTTAAAGGTCCCGGATGCACTCGTGATCTCTGATTTTAATTTCAGGAATATGTTCAGACAATTTTGTCGAAAAACTCGAAGGACGTATACCGGCAAATAGTCGTGGAACGTGGACATTTTTACGTATGTGGTGACGTTACAATGGCGTCAGAGGTCTCTAATGCTTTGAGGCACATAATTAAGACTGAGGGGAAGATGACCTCTGATGAAGCACAGCAGTTCATACTTACAATGAGGGTATGAACGTTGTATATTGGATAGCTCTAAGGCAACATAAACATAGATTATTTGGTGATATGTTTTTGATAAAATAAAAAACAAGGCCTTAGGAATTCTGAAGAAAAACACCCATGCAACAATAAACAATTTGGTCTTAATTAAAAAAAACGGTTGAGCCCACACGCGAGCAAATTACAAACGAATAGTCAGCGAGGCAATCAGTGTCTAACTTCATATTTATCTTCTTGTAGGAAAACAACAGATTTCACGAGGACATATTCGGAGCATCGTTCAAAGTACAGTCAGATCGTAAACTTCAACTCCAAGAATCATTTGAATCCTCTGCGAACTCCTAGATGGACAATGATACTTTTACGGTGAAATATAACGGTTCAATATTCCAATAGCTCAAGAGACTGCATGACTTGTACAATATAGTTCAATAAAATTTTAAATCATCAGAGGATTACTGATTTAAACTACGCATCAATTAGACTACATGTACGTCATTCAACATTACTGTCCCTAGAGACAATAATAATTTATATGTGGTGTCTGTAAAATTGCTGTTGAGTGTTTTCAGTCAAGCTTTTACAATTATCATCAGCATCAACGTCATCTATTGTACATTTCAAAAGTTAGAAAATATGTTTTTATCATTTATTATTTTAGTGAGGATGGTATCAAAAAATACTTTTGACCTCTAAAATTTAGTTTGAAATAGATTCAAGTGTTATTGAACTTCATAAAATCTCTTTTTGAAATCACATATCATACAGGGTGGTCAAAAAACGGCAACCCTAGTTTTTCCTAATATTTTTTTTCATTCTAAGAAACAACTCACTGATATTTTACATATTTGTACATCATTCAATTTCATTTCATTTTAAGCAACATGCCCCAGATGGCCACTTTTGGGCTGTCTGAGCTGGTCTGTTATTCAAATGAACTCCATTTCCAACTTGTTGCACTGGTAAACTCTAACACTTATGTATTCTTGGGGAGCCAAGCACTTGATGAAGTAGTGGAGAGGCACCTTCACACAGACAGATGCACAGTTTAGTGTGTTCTCAGAATATAGGGTGCTTTACCTTTGATGATACCAACGGTTATGCAATAACTGTCAACATCAAACTCTATTTTGTGATTCCCATGGAATTCTTGGGAACTTTAGGTGAACCCAGGGGAGTATATAGGCAGCAACAGTGGTTCCAACAAGACATAACCATACCCCATACACTCAATAGATACACAATAATTGCTTTGGGACCACTTCAATGACCACATTATAAGCAGTACAACAGACAATGAATGGGCACCCCGGCCCATAGCCCAGGTATGGCCCCGTTTAATCTTTACCAGTGGGGATACCCCAAAGATAGAGTGTAGGGTAATAACACCAGAAAGATATCTCACCTCAAAATAAAGATCACATGTGTCGTTCAGGCCATAATTACTGAGGAATGCAGTTATGCCATTGACAGATTTGGAAAATGTGTGCAGGTTTGCCTACATAACGATAATGGAAAACTGGGGCACCTTGTTTAAAGTGCTGTAACATTGTGAGTATCAGTCCAGCGTTCATAAAATAATACAGTCTAGTATGACATTCAATGATGTACATGTGTGTCAAATATCAGGGCAAAAATTCTAAAAATGACAAAGATATGAGGAAAAATTAGGGTTGCCGTTTTTTTGACCACCCTGTATTTTGATAAGATTTAGTAAGTTATGTCAAGTTGGTTTAAACTTCTAAAGGAGGCTAATAGTTTTTTTTAAATTAATTTTCTCCATTGTCAGTCTATATCGGTTGACTTCATTCATTAATTAGTAATTTCAATGTCTTTGAATTTTGAAATCATCTGTTTTAACTTTTTATGTTATTTTCTTATTGTCAATTTTGTATATTTCTAAAAACACTATTAACCTCATTAATTATCATTAATCATCGATTTATGTGCATTTGTATGCCATAATGATGTATATTTACATTGTTCAAGGTATATGTACGTGCTTTGTGGGTATAGAGAGATTTCGCAACTCACAATAGGATGCATATCATTCCCGTATAACGAATAACTTATGAAGCATTTGATAACGTGCTCATTTATTGCGTAGCTCTATACATCCATAAGTGTGATATTTTTATAAATTGTCGTTTATACATAAGAATATCACACTTATCAGGCCCGTAGCCAGGATTTGCCAAGGGGGGGTCAGTTTTCAAACATTTCCAGGGGGGTTCACTTTTGACAATTTTGGCCCAAATATGGCTAAAATCACTTGAGAAGTGCTCAAAATGGTGAAAACTGCATGATTTTGAAAGAATTTTTGGCCAGGGGGGGGGTTCGCCCGAACCCTGCAAACCCCCCCCCCCTGGCTACGGGCCTGCTTATTGACGTATAGAGCGCAATAAATGATGGCGTTATCAAATGCTTCATAAGCAATACGTTATACGGGAATAATTAACATATATATAAGTGAGTTACAAAATCTCTCTATTGTCTATTTTACTTGTTCCTATGCTATTGCTGTATTCATCGTACGTGCACCAACAATAAAATTTAATTAAACAAACCAACAAGTTCAATTGCCATTTCATACATTACATCGTAAAAAAAACTGATGCCATTTGACACTATGCTAAATATGCGATCAATGAATTCAATATGTAATTAAAGTATAACCGAATACCAAATACAAAATGACACTTAAAAATAATTATTAACAATATTAAACCTGGGATTGTAACCAACGCCAACGCCAACAAATATACTTTATTTGTACTTTTAGAAAATATATGGCTTATATTGTATAATTTGGTTTCTTAAAATTTATCGAATAGGCCCAATATAATTCCAACCAAATCTACAATTGGCATTTGAACAAATGAACATGGCTAACACTGGGGGTAAATGGAACATACGAACAGGACGAAGTTATATTTTTTCGATCAAGCCGCTATTGTATTTATATAAACATTAAAGTCTTACCCCATTTACGCATAATGTTATACATGAGTTCGTTCTACTGTTCATGGTTTATAACTCGACATTTACTCTCGCAGGTTTTGTATCGTCCTGACAGGGCTCAAAATCTGGTGGATTTTCATTCAGACCTGATATAGAAGATTTAAGATATTTTGGGACATCCATCACAGCTAGGTTGTCGAAATAATTATGCGGTTTTAACCAGAATCCCGTAGATACACTTGCCGTCATTGGAATATCTTCAGATGTTGGTAAATGGTTTAAACTTGGGGTTATCCATGTGACAATATCTTGATTCGTGATTGGTTCATTGTCTAGATAGTTGTCGAGGGAGCCAACTGGTTCTGCAAGTTGATTAACATCATAGGGATTACTAAGATATCTCTCAGTATCTCGCTGTCTTGTGACGGCACAATGGTATTTGGTGAACGCCAGAGCCTTGTTAGCGATGTGGTCCGAAGGTAGTATATTTGCTCCTGTCGCCATCATCTGGATTCTGTAACCTCTTGGTACGCCCCATTTGTTTTTCTTTGCATCGTTTACCACAACCCAAAAGTGAGGGTTGTCTAAGTTCTTTCTCAAACCAATCTCATTTTTCAGAGTCACATATTTGAGGAAGCGTGTGTGTTCATTCTCGAAATACGGTGGATTTGTATTTCGTCTTCCTTGTGATCTAAATGCCTTGCCCACCGTGTCCGCCTTCCATGCAATTTTCTGAAATGAATTTTTAGTACCACCTATATCCATATCGACTTTGAAACCAAACGCATGATCATGTATCGCGCCTTGTGTAAAATCCTTCACCTTGTACCCAAAACCATCAAATCCGTCATTATTTTTTCTTCGATTTGGATTATCATCATCCCAAAATGCAGCTTGAAGATAACCTGATGCTTCAGCAATCGTTTGCATTTTACCATCCATGTAGAATCTAAAGTCAATCGTATAATCGTAATTACCTGCGGTAAGCGGTATGCGAACTACCAGGACATGATTTCTGAGTCCTGCAGAATAGGAATCACCTCGTCGCCATAAAGGGCCTTGCATATCTGCCTCAAAAACACAACCGGCTCCAACTGTTGATGCAAAATTCACACTTTTAATCCAGCGATATAAGTTGATTGTGTGAGCGTATTCCGGGCAATCAACTCCAGGTACAAATGGCTTGATTTGGTCTCCCAATCCGAAAAGAGAATCCATAAGAATATTGTTGGCGTCACCTGATGCGTCCGAGGAATACACCAGGGAGACTTCATTGAGTGAGTTCTCCCAGAGGATTCGCTCTCCCTTGAATCGAACATCGTGGACACTAGGTCCACGAACTTGTGAGAATCCAACAGAAAACTCCCAGCCCATCCATGTTATTCGATTTCCTACACAGTTAATACGGGAGCCAGATGGCTGGTATGTCCGGGGTGGAGCGATGTTTGCACCTTTGCGTGCCCACCCTGTCCCATCCCGCTGAGGAAACGTTGCATTCCAAGCTGTTGATTTGTAGTTTCTCGGAAGACTGAATTTTCGCAGTTCCCCTTTTGTATACGCCTCGAGCAAATCTTCGGCCGTATCAAAAGGTCCTTGGTTTAGGTAGAAAATTCTGTGAATCTTCCATATTGAAACATCTGTGCCAGGTGAATATATCGTAAAGGATAGGGGCATGTGATTGATATCATACCCAGATGACGTAGCTTGTATTCGCAAAACTAATACATAACGCGTGTTTCGCTCAGAAGCAGTAAAACCTTGTGGCGATAATGTTCGAAATCTGAATTCATGGTTCCCGAAACTCTCTTGAATTATTAGATCAATAGTATCTGTGAAGGAACGCATCATGCCCAAATGTGTGAAGTATTCGGAACTTGATAGCACTTGGGAATTAAAAGACAACTCCCCGTCCTTATACAGTTGAGTTACGTTCATGGAATCGCCACACACTGGACCGACTTTGTATTCCATCAGATCAGGATTTACGGAGTTTCCTCTGATCACGTGAACCTCTGCAAAGCGTCCTGGGTGTGAACCACCATTGTCAAGATAATCTAACGCTTTTGCTTTTTCTGGAGGTAGTAACGCCATCCTATGTATATATGTATTCTTAAAACTTGTTCCCCATGGATCGACAATTCCTTTAGATACTAAGGCAGAGTAAACAGTGCGCATTTCGTCTGGGTCCAACATATCGAAAATCCCCTTTTCACCACAACTTGGCGATGGTGAACATTGTTTTTCTGATTGTGGACATTTGGTGCAGGTGGAGTCGTCTAAAAGCAAAATGAATTATATGTAAAATTGAGCGACAAATTCGAGCCTAAGAAAAAGAATATAGCTCCGTCTTCTGGAGTTAATATGCCAGTGAAAATATTATAGTCTAAGGATTTCGGTCTAAATTTTGCAATAACCTGTTAGTTTGTACAATTTCTCAATCAACAAAACAAGTTCATTCAAAGTGGGATCAACGGATAAACTAAAATGGCTATTTGCTTCAAGTTTTTTTATCTCTGTAACACGACAATTGTGTTTAACCAAACCCGATTGGAAGTGAAATAGTCTTCAAGATATCACAGTCTTCTAATTTTTTGAATGTCTCGGTGTTTACATCGAGACACGGCGCGACAAGTCATGGATGTTTGGAATCCCATATCCTGTAAGGGGGGGGGTGTAGCAATAACCAATTTTATAACCTAGCCTCATTTGCCATTGGAATTCAGCTCACAATGTTCGCTTTAGTTTAGTTATGATAAGTCTAATGAAAGCTTGGATGGCATTATATTACTATTACCGTAGTTTAGAAATAATGATGTTGAACTGATATAAACGCCATTTCGACGATTTCAAGTTTTACTTTGCGCATGCGCGGCTCTGAGAAAACAATTGGTCATGATTGTCCACTTGATCATATTCTACAATTTGATTGGACATGCTATACTGATGGGCGTGATTTCAATAAATTATGTTCATGAATACCAAGGTATACCTAAGAAGTATGGGAGCTACTCACTTCTTCTGTCCTGTAATAATCTGACGTCACTCATGTGACACTAAACGAAGTTCTAGAATGGTGATAATTAATGTTATATTTGTTTAATTAAAATATCGTAACCATAGTACTACCTTTTATCTCACGTTTTAAACGGCTTGCTGGATTAAACGGATTATTTAAACTCTCTTTTTGCGTCATTGTATCATCATGAACGGGATCCCCGTCAACAACCAAATAGAGGAGCGCTGTGAAGTACAAATAAATTAAACTACATCTAATCCTCATATCTTAAACTGAGATGAGAGGATATTTACTACAGTTAATCATCGATGTTTATAATAGGATTGTTTATAACGGTATCCTAGTACAATATTGTTTACATACTAGGATTAATAAATTAATAAAAAACGATTTTATATTTGCATTAAAAATATTTAAGGTTACAGTCTAATTCATTATGCAAGACTGATCACTGCAAAAAGTATATAACACGACTCTCTAAAAATAGTCCTGGAAGGGGGGGGGGGGGGTTCGCATTGTCAGTCTGATCGGGAAAAGTGATTTCTTGAACAACAGCATTTCAGCAACATCTACATAATTCATTGAGATTTTCTTATAAACGCAAGTATTCTTGAAACTTTCTTGGATTGCTTTATTTAAGTATATTTGAGAACAGTCATTTTAACGTGCTTTTATACAAATTGTTTTATTTTTAATTGTTGAGAAAGTGTACTGACGTTTGTGAAGCCTCCGTTATCCCAAGCCCTAAAGAAACAATGATTTTAATAATAATATATACGAATGAAATAAACCCTCGTACATCGATCAAACGTCACAAAACTCATTTCGATCATTATGGCTATACTACAAGAACATTTTTAACAAATAATTATTTCTAAAGTCCTAATACCGCATCCAGTTAAAATAAAATGTGAAAATAGGTAATTGAAAGATACTTACATATACACAATATTAAAGTCCTCGATGCTTCTGCAGTCATAATTCCAATAGCTAGTGAACGAGAACCTGACAGATTTGCAGTCAAACGGAAAATATCAATTACATGTACGTATGTAAACCAGTGTTTGTATAGGACGCTTATGACAATACAACTAGAAAACAGCAACGCCACGGAGTAGTGAATTCCACCGAACAAAATATGTGTTGATAAATAGTGACCGTCCTGAAAATAGGTATCAGCAGATACAATTCGTAGCAAAATCCGCCCATTGATATCTAAAGCCAAAGCCATACCATTGCTAGGAATGCCAAATCATCAAAAACTCCTTGAAAAACGAAATATTGAAAAATCATTCGACCTTCAACCTATTGAGTGTTCAAATCATTTTGGAGTACTTCAAAAAGAGCCAAGTGTTGACAGACAGAGGTTTTAAAATTTGCCACTATTTTGTACTGACTGAGAAACAGATGGAAAAATCAGTGTTTACTAAAATGGATAAAAATAAAAAAACGGATATGATTTTTTGCCGATTTCTTGTAACAAAATTATTTCATACAACTACTCTTTTTGTATTGTTTTCTGTATTGATGTTGAACAGAAATAACTTAAAACAAGAATCCTATCGACAGAGGTTTTAAAATGTGCCACTATTGTCGACGGACGGACGCACACACGCACGGACAGACAGACGAACAAGTGAGTGATTGCAAAAGCTCACCATGTGAGCTAAAAACCAGTCTTAGTGACTATATGTTTCCAAGTCGAGTTTTATACACTGGTCAGTCAGGTTCAATAATTAAGTCAACATTCGAAAATTAAAATCTCAAAAATCGTACATCTTTAATTTGATTTCCAAAATAATTTGTGAGGTGGTTATTAAGATGATAATTCACATTTGAACGTATCAATTTTGAGTACATCTCGATTTCATTCTCAACAAAGCGCTCGCGAAATAAGTATTCGAAATGTTTGAGTACGGGGTGATAAAAGTACGTAAGATATACAACAAATTCCTTTGGGAACAAGATATACAAGGGGCGATCCATATGTTCTGATAAAATGCTCTCATTTTGTGATTGGTTCACATTATCCCTCTCATTTTTTCAGAAAATGTAGATTATGTAATGACGCATACAATGCTAAAATATTATAGCTATGTCTTAAATTATCAATGAGATAAGGTTGCCATGGTAACCTGTATTAAGGGTAGGCAGGTCAATTAGATTATAACATATAAATATCATAATAACTTGTTATTTTAATTATTTTAAAGCATCCGCAAATCATGCATTTTTTCTCAAAAAGTTTGGTATTGTTACTCGTTGTTTGTTGCTAAACAAATGTTATGTGATTACTATAACATCACAACAAATCACAATAGCAACGTATGACAGAATGGCCAATTGACATTACATGTTATGAGACACACCAAAAATCAAATTGTCAGATGAGAGGTTAATGTGGCTGATGCATAGTGTGACATTAACGGATATATTAGGAGTACCATTAGATTTTATGTACTATCAAGAATAAGTAAGAGAGGACACTGTCAGAGACATACATGGACTCATTAAGTGCATGGACAAGGTGTTATATCTGCATAAAGAATCTATAGGTAATATTGTAAAGAGGAAGGGATGGTCACTGATGAAGATCATCCATAATCTGGTTGCAAGAAAAGCTTGCGGACAGAGAATAACACTACGATAAATTGAGATGTTAATTATGAAAAGATAGCTATCCCACTGTATAAATTATCAAACAAGGGCAACAGGGGTATGGAACAGATCAATGAATAGTTGGCAATGACTGGAAGATGCGTTTGATCTGCTTAAAATAGGTACCGAGGAATGATTAAATTAACATATTTATCTATTTTAGACGTCATAATTTAACTGACCTACCTACCCTAAATACAGGTTACCATGGCAACCTTATTTCAAAAATTAATTTAAAATATAACTAAAATATTTTAGCATCGTATGTGTAATTACATAATCTACATGTTCTGGAAAAATAAAAGGGATATGTGAAAAAATCACAAGATGAGAGCATTTATATCAGAATATATGGATCGCCCCTTGTAGAACCAAAAGCATATTCTTCTTATTTACTCACTGAAACATGGCAAAGAGCGTTACATAAGTAAATATCTCTGTTTTAAATGAGTATGTTTTAAATAATTTTGTAAACGTTGTTATCTATAAGTGCCATTTTTTATAATTTAGCAACAAAATTGAACATTTTGCATTTCTAAATTGATAAATGTCTTGGAATACAGCATATAACTGTTTACGATTTAAGTCGTTCTCCTTAGTGATTCCATGATAAATGACAGTAACTGGGTCAATGTATTATGTTCAACCTTGTTTTCATGACTTTTATTTTTTAGCTTTTAATCATGATGGATCGCCAAAAACTGCATGTACCTTTAAATGAGATGATATGTTTTTAAATTTAGAGATGTAAGCTATAAACTCAAACAAAAAATCAAACTAACCGCTATTATTTTGATTGCACAAGACGAAATTTCCATTCCCGGGGAGCACTTAGGTAACTCTTTAAGAAGGAGAATTCTTGGAAAATCGTTCGAATTTTCACAAGAAGTTTCATGCATTTTCACCATACTCAAATCCGATACCATAATTATAAATTGAAATGAAACATTAGACTCACTAGGTTAGATGATAAAGCGTTTTGAGCATTAATGATTTGAGTTAAACTGTGGATATTTATATAAATGTAAGTCGGCATGCGTTCACCAGTTTATGTACACATATGATGTATGCATCGCCGTGTGACCTAAATATCAATTTGTGACCATAATATTTGACTTTCGAAAATTAAGTTGGAAGGTACAATGGTTGGAGATTGCCGAGAACGTCAATCACATTCAAATATCCGAACGACGTCAAGTATTAACAATACACTTTGTGCATCTCGAACAAGGCAATGTTCTGTGATCCAGCAATGTGCATTCAGAAAGAAAACTTCACAAATATCAACAATTTCCATTGAGTAGGACATTACATTCGAAATTAGAACTTTCAAAATATTTGCTTCAACCAAAAATTGCAAGAAATTGAAATATGTTGTTACTTTTTCAAACTATACATATCCTCATTCACGTTCGAAATCTAAGTATGTATGGTATTACAGTGTCAATTGACACGCCTTTGTTCGCTCATATCATGAAAAATAAATGCAGTACCATCTCTCAATATTCGGAAACAGAAAGTTCATTCTCTAGGTAAACAAGAAAAAATACATTTATGGTTAGTTCATAATGAAGAATGACTAATAACACACATCTTTTGAAGTAGGGGTATACGGGGACACAGGGGAAATTCAGAAATTTAGGCCATATCTTAAAGAATGCTGCACCAATATGTAACAGAACATCAAAATTATCATTTACATGTTTGGTGAAAGGTAAATTGACAATTTTGGCCACTTTCTAAGTAAATATTGATGTTATTGATATTTGTTATTTCGAGCTCTGTCTTTTATGGGACCAATGGCCCGAGTTTTAAAAGCAATGCCATGATGACAACAATGCTTCCATTTTGAAAAATGGTATACCGGGTGTCCAAAAATAATGAGACACTTTTTGACAAGTTTTTTCTATTAGACGAACAGAATCTTTTGAAAAATTTTACTAAGTAATTTTAGGGTATCAGCAATAAGTCTGCAAATTATAGAGACGATCAGTCACAAATCATTCCAGAAAAGATTTAAAACAGTGAAAATATCATAAAAAGTCAACTATTTCAGTCAACATGAAGCCGTTTTTTTCAAACCGAAGTCATGACTTAATTATCCTGTCTTTTATACACGTTCAATGTGTTGTACTTTTATGTATGAGTATTTTTATTGTTGCAAGACGTCACTCCCTGCCCAAAAATTCCTTTGTGACTAATATAGTCCCTGATCTGGACCCTCTGAAAAAAGGTTTTGTTGTCCGGTACTTTCCCACATAAAATGATTGTACCGTTTGAAAGAACAGACTTCCCTCTTAAAGAAAACACCTCTTCTATTGATGTAAACAGGGGCAAAAGGCACCAAAACGGGGTTAGACAAGGTGGCATTCTGAAGTCTCACTTTCTTGTCATCATGATTCCAGGTAAACCATCAGACGGATCTACTTCAAGTTTTCACACATGTTACATGGTAAGAAATTCTAGAACTGATTAACTTTGCAGCGGCCATCTTGCATTCTGGCGGCCATTTTGGAATTTTTTTCAGATAAATATTGTCATCGCGATTCCACAAAAAACACATAACAGATGTACTTCAAATGTTCACACATGTTACATGGTAAAAAGTCCTACACCTCATTATTTTTTCGGTGGCCATCTTGCATTCTGGCAGCCATCTTGGAAGTTTTAAGATAAATCTTGTCATCACGATTTCAGGAAATCCAAACGGATTTACTTCAAATTTCCACACATGTTACATGGTAAGAAAATATAGAGGTGAATAACTTTTCGGCAGCCATCTTGCATTCTTGCGGCCATCTTGGAAATTTTGGGATAAATCTTGTCATCGTGATTCCAGGAAAACAACCTAACAGATTAACTTCAAATTTTCACACATGTTACATGGTATGAAATTCTAGAGCTGACTAACTTTTCGGTGGCCATGTTGCATTCCGTCGGCCATCTTGGAAGTTTTTAGATAAATCTTGTCATCACGATTCCATGAAAACCACATAACAGTTTTACTTCAAATTTTCACACATGTTACATGGTAAGAAGTTATAGGGCTGATTAACTTTCCGATAGCCATCTTGCATTCTGGCGGCCATCTTGGAAGTTTGTAGATAAATATAAAATACAGTCAAAGCATTTACCACCAACAAAGGATGCTCTCATTCTCCATATAAATAGAGCCAACTATCAGGCCTATATTTGGCGAAACGCAGGCAAATCAAGGATTGATTATCAATCCCCCACATTACATGGTTGGACATTCAAAGGGAATAAACTACAAATTAAGGGGATGGAAAACGGTCCTGCCCCACAAGAAATAATGGAGCTTGTTGCTTGTAGTTGTAAAGGAGCGT